GTGTGTTGTGATTGGTTAGCTGGGCCAGTGTGTGCTGTGATTGGTTAGCTGGGCCGGTGTGTGTTGTGATTGGTTCATCTGTCACTCTAAGTTCATCTGTCTTGTGAAAACTAGCGTGTCTCCGACATAGTGATGACACTCGTTGCCTTCTCTAGTGCAGCTCAACCAGGTCTCGTCCCATTCGTCGATATTTGTGATATCACAAATCCCGGAAAATATGCGTTGTAGTCCAAACGAGTCATTCGTTGTAGTTTTTGAAAAGTGATTTCTGTTAAATAAAATATCTCCTTTTGAAGTGGACTTTGAGCTTTGTAACTTTGCAGATCTTTTTTATGCTCAAACAGCAACATTACAGACTACCTAAAGTTGAAAAAGTGAAAAAGCATAATAGGACCCCTTTAAAAAACATGGTATTACTATGGTAGATGTAAAAAAAAACTGTATAAAAAGTATTACCTTTGAACTATGGTATTAAAGTAAAAAACAAAATGTAAGAATTACTATGGTGTGACAAACATGTTATTACCATGCTAAATGTCCAAAAAGACAGCATTGTCAAGGTACATATCTAAAATACTATGGTACTACCATGGTTCTTGCCTTAAAAAACATAGTTTTACCGTTGTATATCTCCAGAAAACATGGTATTATCATGGTCAATTCCCAAAAAACAAAACAAAATGGTATTACCATGGAAAATGTGCAAAACATAGTACTATCAAAGTACTTTTCTAAAACACTATGGTATTATCATGGTAATTGCCTTAAAAACTGTTTTACCATCGTATGTCTCCAAAAAAACATATTACTACTATTATACTAATGACTATGGTCCATTCTCAAAAAACAAAACAAAAAACAACATATTGCCATAGAAAATGTTCATGGTAATTGAAAAAAACAAAGTACATAACACTACGGTATTATCATGGTAATTGTCTAAAAAACATGGTATTACCATGGCATCATGTCTAAAGCACATTGTATTATTATGTCTAAAAACATGATATGCCAAAAATATGGTGTTACTATGGTACGCATAGTGCTATTAAGATACACATCGATACATATACATATACTGTATCTACTATATATCTATCGATTTTTACCATGGAACTTGACTAAAAAACAGTTTCACCATCATACATCTCCAAAAACATGGTATTACCATGGTACACATTGACCCCCCCCAAATAACAAACAAAACAAAACATGCTATTACCATGGTACACTTACCATGGTACATGCCAAAAGCCCTCAGTGTATTACTACGTATAAAAAATACATATTATTACAGTAAGTAAGAAGCATGATTATCATGGTAAATGTCACAAAAACATGGTATTAGCACAGTATCATGTCCACATGGTATTACCATAGTACCTTGTGTAAAAGCACTTACCAAAAAAGTATAACATACTACCATGGTATTATACCAAACATACTACCATGGTATTCTTGGAGTAGCATGCAAACAGATGAATTTTAGTATGTTTGAAATGACCATAGTATCTGTATTTAGTGAAGATGACCTCAGTTTGTACTATAATATGTGTAATATAACACTACTCTGCATGAGCGCACACGTACCTTCCTGTGGCCACTCTCTCCAGGAGGGCTTTCAGGCAGCATCATCTTCATGTACTCCTCTTTAGACATGTTGGGCTGCAGACCTCCGTCCTTCAGCTTGTCCCGTCCTCTGTCCTGCAGCCCACAGGACGGCTCTGCGGCGTACAGCTGCCTGCGGGACACAGAGCCGCACACGGGTTAGAGAGTTCATCATAATCAAGAGAGTTGATGAGCGCTGTCCAGATATTTTAGTCAAAGGAGAGGTAATACATATTGTTGAGCATTTTAAACATTTGGGTATGATTATGGATTCTAATTTAAATTTTAAAAATCATATTAAAAAGATCTCTAAAAGTGCTAGAGCGAGCTTGATGATCTTCAGGAATATTAGGCACCTATTACCTGTGGCTGCTGCTAAGCTCTTTATGCATACAATGACTCTCTCTCATTTATCTTATTGTGCTACAAGTTGGTCCCACACAAGTATAACTACGTTAAAACCATTATATACTATTTATAAACAAGCTGTGAAAACTTTAGCAAAGAATATTGCAATATTATTAAAAATGATAAATTATTGACGTTTGACAATTTTTTTTTTTGCTGATGTGTGTTTGATGTATAAACTACTTCATGATCTTGCACCACCAACTCTTAAACAAGGTGTGACTTTCTGTAAGGACAATAATTAGGCATCAGTTAGAGGTGATTGTTCGACTAAATATAAGAAAACTGTTTTTGGACAATCAGCTTTTTCAGTTAGAGCAGCAGAAAGATGGAAATGAATACCGGTTTATATTAGAGAGTAGGGTTGTGCGATATTGAAAAAAAATGCGATATGCGATACCTTGTTAAAAAAATGCGATATTCGATATGCGATACGATATTGCTTAAAGTGTGAAAAATCTATTTAAATTATATTTTAAAATATTTAAAAATGAAAATGATATAACCAATTTGTTTCACATTCTTTCTTGGAAAAGAAAGAATCACTACAACTTTTGAAAGTGACTACGGCTGCACGATAAATCGAAATGGAATCGAGATCGCGATTCGACAGAAGCTGCGATTGTCATGCGTATCTTTCAGTGAAGCACGGT